AAACGATGCTAAGTGCTACAAGATATATGAGGTTGTGGAGACCCATGATTGCCACGCCTTGAAAGGACACGGTGTATAAAACAAAAATAACCTCAGCTTTGTATTCGGTCACACATACTTTAAGCACTTTCAACCCAAGCAAGGCATTAGCACGCAAGGAGTTAGAGAGAGAGAGAGCAAGAGAAAAGAGGTGTGTTTAATGAAAAGATAAAGAGAAGGACGCGGGACTAGATCAAGGCATCAGAATATGTCGATTGATATTACATTTGAATATTATAGCTATTAGAAAAGCAAGTAAGAGTAAGGGAGTTCCACAGACGTGAAGTGCGAGATAAGAGGCTTTTGGAGAAGAAGTGACGGATATTTTAATCGTTTCAACATTGAAAAGGTGGTACCAAAATGCCAACCTAGTAGCACGCTTGAATTGTGGAAAAGACAGAGGGAAACAACAGAATCTGAGAGAAAGGCGATTGTAGATGAGATGACACATTAGGACGCATAACGACTCCAGACCATATATGAGAGCAGTATTTAATGCAAGGAAGAATGGTTGATTTGTAGATTTGAATGATGGACTCAGGTGAGAAAAACACAGAGAACCAACTTTCCTTGCAGTAGATGAAGCTATAGATTCAATGTATTTGTTCCAACTTAGGTTAGCTGACAGCGTGAGAGACGCTCTTATGTTGGCACCAGTCATTCTGATGGGAGGCAGTGAGGGTTCGGGGTGGTGGGTAAATGAGAGCAGTTTTGTTTAGAGGCATTAAAGTTTACCAGACACTTTCTGACCCAGTCACCCACAGACTGGAGATCTTTTTCATAACAAGTTTCTTCATATATGTATTTCCCTTGTCAGCGTGTGTTATTTTTAGAGTAACGAAATAAGTTGTATACATTGATATAATAGGAGGATACACAATGGAAACTGAAAATAGTGTACAATAGTAGATACTTTGTTTATTTTCTCCTATTTATTACCAATCGTTACAATTTAGTGCAGGTTTCAGTATAATTCCTATAACAACACTCAGTCAGTTATGTGGCATGCGTGATACACGCTTAGGTCATCGTGTATCTTTCGATAGATGACTGACAAGGCAAATTTTGTTCCCGCGGTAGGTTGATATTTCTTTCTGCGGTAGACCATTTCCCATCCAAGGCTATAGAATCCGGCCTATTTACCCATAGCTGGGGGAGAAGAAGAGGATTTCTACCTTTATGTAATGGATTCGACTGGAATTTGGATTCGGCTCTCTAATTTCTCAATCCGATCCGTAATCCATTACTCCACAGTGCCTCCCGATGACAACACTATGGATTCATAAAAAACAATTTATTTAATTGTATTGCTTTTTTCGAATTTATAAATTTAGAGTAGTTTTTTTTTTAATTATTATTTAAAGTATATTTTTGTTCGGTTTGCTGATAAAAAACGAAAGAAAAAAAATGTTGTTGCGTTTATTTATTTAGCAATCTTAATTTCAGTTATATAGTTTTATTTTTGGAATAATATATGCTTCATAGTTTGTTTCTCTCTTAAACAAATGAAGAGTGAGAAAATAAATAGTTAGCATAGAATTTACGGTTACATCTAGTCGTTTCCACTGTAAATGATGAAACCTAACCGCCAATCTAGCACAGCGCTTAAATTAATAAATAGGAAAAATAAAGCTCATCAGAAAAATTAAATTAAAAATATTTATTGAGAAGCATATGGAAGCTCGGTTACTCTGGTGGGAAAATTACTGAAGCCGAGATGCCAATCCAGAGTTTTGTTTGTTTGTGAGATGCAGGTCTTCCGGGTAAACAAATTAATGATAAAAATTCAGATAATAATCCTTAATGATTCTCCGTTTCTTTCACTGTTTGCACTCGTTGATAGTTTAGTCTCGGTATTTATTGATGCGTTTAACGATGTTAGTTGCGGCACTCAGCAAGTGCTATAGCGATAATTTTCACTCAATTTCACCTTCTGTTCCCTTCAAAACTGTGCGTTCAATTCGAATGAGTTTCCCGCGAGACACTGGCGAAAAAATGGCGCCAATGTATTCCAGACAGTTCTACCAGTTTTATGCAAAATATCGAAAAAAATCTCTCTGTGTGTGTAACGAATGCACGGCCGCAATTTTCGACGGATTTGCACCAAAATTTACATGCACATGCTGCAAGTTAGCGGTAAGGCCAAGGCTGACTTTGCATTTTCCAACTCCCATCGATAGTGGAAATAATCGATTTTTTCATGTTTCTACGGCAGTTTTCATGTAGTTTGCGGCCATTTTGTACTGGCCAGAGTGAGAGCCTATAGCTGGCTGCCACGAATAGGCAGGACGATTCTATTGGCCAGTGTGAGAGCCAACAGCTGACTGATACGAATGTTAACTAGCATGCTAACATACAAAAACAAATCGATAGCTGCTTTCGTCACAAGTGGGAAAAATTTAAATCTGCATGGCACTTTACTCCAATTGGCTCATTCGCTAGCTTAAACTCAACATTGATTCTGATTCGGCAGCACTGGGTTGGGTTTGAAAAAGTATTTGTTGTTACCAGTCCTTTTTTAAAGCTGATCGTTTTGTTTTCATTTTGTTTAGTTCTTTTTTCGTAACAGATTTAATGTTTAGGATAGGGCTTAGAAAAAATTCGCAGTGTGAGCTAGGCAAGAAGTAAGGCATGTAGCAACATCAGCACTGCAAAGGGCACTCCTTTAAAAGGCAAGTAAGGGCAGAAATATTTTAAGTCAAGTCATAGCGATTGCTGTATGAGTCGTACGATTTTTTGAATCAAGCACGGCAACGCCAGGTCATGCTGCTAGTATATATATATATATATATATATATATATATATATATATATATAAAAGAAGACATTATTTCTGATTTAGATTTGTTAGATATAGAAATCCAAACATGCTGAGGAGGTTTTTCAAATTTTGCCACAATATTCTACATATCTAAAAAATGGATATCTTTAACTGTAACTCTATTTTTATAACGGTGCCTGATGTAAACTGAAACGGATAAAAATACATCAGATTTCGTTGGATGGGTTCACCCGTCAAAAATTGTATGCACCAAATGAAACAGGACAGGTATCTGAGACGTAATAGATTGAGAGACATACGAATGAGATAGTGAATCTGTGATATACATTTAACGTGGACTGGATTTTAAAGTTTGACAGCGGAATATTATAAGGGGTAGAAAGATGAGTATTCAGATACTGTCTGAAGATCGACTCTTTTATTTTTATTTCAGAAAATCTTAGCAAAGTCATGTTGATAACATCGGAACGTAAAACTGCGACTATCCACATTAGATATAAAAATGTAGCCTCCAGCAACTATCCAACGAGTTAATCTTTTAACAACGTAGACACAATTAAACGCGGGTGGAACTTGACCTCTCTCTAAAGGCACCTGACAGATTATAATGCATTGCAAACGGCTTATCTTTAGCAGGACTACAAACCTGGAGGTACAAAACGATTTGAATAATGTCCCTGATAAAAGAGAATAAACGTATTGTCTAAAATAAATGTTCAGTCACATTACAAAGTTTAATCAAGTACACCTCAAGCCTAATTGAACAATGCCGTGCCATCATTGAACTATTGATTGTTAATTTTTATAAGTTTTTATTTTCTTTTTTTTATCATTTTACCACAACTAAGGCAATAAAGCCATTAAGACGCAAGTAGTTACTGAGTTTTAGTTAATTTGAATAATAAACACTATTAAGTAGCATGGACATTAAAAGAATAAGATTTAAGAATACAGAAGATATCAATAATATTTCATTTAAATCTTTAAAGATGGAAGGTGACTGGGAAACAAGAATTAGACATTTAGGGGTGTAGTTTCTTGGGGTGTACTCACTTTTAGTGGTGTAGTTTCTTAGGGTGTAGTTTCTTAGGGGTGTACTCACTTTTGTTGTCAGTGATTTAGCTTTTTTATTGCTATATTTTAAGTTATTTTGAGGGAAAAATAAATTAAAATTGTTATATATGCTGCAGACAGGCTACTTTTCATTGTGTCAAAGTGTCATTTTGTCAGTGTTGTCCCATGAAGAGATATACTTAAATATTTGAAGAAATGTGAGGGGTGTACTCACTTTTGTGATACACTGTATATATATATATATATATATATATATATATATATATATATATATATATATATTGAACAATGAAAAAACTATTAAAAATTAAAATCTTCAGACACACTGGGTTGTAGATTAATATTCTTTCGTTTTTATTATTATTTCATTTAGATTCCTCGACTAGTTTCGGCCAAAATGGCCATCATCAGGAGAAGAAATATTTCTGCTTCGTGGTAGCAGTGAACTACAGAAATGAATGTCTTGATTGAGAAAATAAATTTTTGTCTGTAATTTTCATTTGTTTTTTTTTCCACTTTTTAACATAAATCTTTTGACAATTCTTGTGTTGGTTAAACAGTCTCTTTTAAGTTGTTATTTGAGATAAGAGCTGGATGGATCCATGCTGCTCTGAATTCCCCTGGTCAATTTGACAGTTTTATTGGTTACTGGAGAGGGGATGTGTCTGTTAAGTGTGTGTGTGTGTGTGTTATATATGGTTCTTAGGGATTGAGAGAGTATGATATGTGTAAGCGTGTTTATTGCTGTGGGTGTGTGCTATCATTTGCCTCATTAGGGAGTGAGTGAGTATGATGTGTGTAAGTCTGTATATTTGTGTGGGTGTGTGTATAAGTGTGAGGTCTCAAAACCTCCGTAAGCATGTCTGTCTTGTGTGGGTGAGAAATGTGGGTAGGTTTTGATTTGTAAAATTATATATTAATACTATCTATATTGTTAAATTTATGGATTAGCCTGGCTGGATAGTGGGTTTTTAGACGTTGTATCAAAATTTATTATATATATATATATATATATATATATATATATATATATATATATATATATATATATATATATATATGAAAGAGGTAGATAGATAAAAGGAAAAGATACATACATACATACACTGATAAATAAAAAGAATAGATAGATAGATAGATAGATAGATAGATAGATAGATAGATAGATAGATAGATAGATAAAAAGGAACATAGATAGATAGATAGATAGATAGATAGATAGATAGATAGATAGATAGATAGATAGATAGATAGATAAACAGACAGACCTGGGAAGAGTGAAACTGAAATAGAATAAATGAAAATGACAGTACGAGGGAATATTTGGGAGATAAATGAGAGGAGATCAGAGCAAGCTATCGAAATAATTAGGCCAAGGTAAAATATCAGATGATACATACGGAATTGGAAGACAAAATGAAAATTAAAACAAATAAAATAGATCAATGAGAAAGAACAAAAACCGACAAGATAAATACATAAAACAACGAAAGGTTGACATCAGCAAAATAAGCGGGAAACTAAGAAATGGAAGTAATTGAAATGAAGCGTCTTTTTAAAGGAGAATTGCTCTGACGCCATACAGGATAGGGCCGCCGGAAGGAATGATTTTTATTTTTTTTTTATCTTTCCTCCAATAAAGGAAGTGAGGAAATGAAGAAATATCAAAACTAGAAAGATGAACAATAATAAGAACATGCATTTCCAATTTCATAATCGAAGGTGGCTTCCGTTATAATATGAGAGATTAGAACACTCAGACTTGACTAGCTTGAAGGAACTGTGCGCAATTTTTGTACGACTGAAAAGAAATCTACGCAATGTCGATTTGGAATAATTAACAGCCTAAAATAATTATAACCTGTGCAAATAAAACTGCCGAAGAAAAATGGTAAATGAATTAACAAAGAAAGAAAAAAAAAAGAAATAAAGAAAATAGGGTGGCATCGAAATAGAAAGTTGAAAAAGGGCAAAAAGCATCATAAAGAAAGAAAGAACAATAGAGAAGAACTAGTGGAAGAGGAAAAAAGCAGGAAAGTAAGTAAAAAACTGAGAAAGAAAGAAAGAAAAACAGAGAGAAATAATGGCATTAAATAGAAAGCTGAACGTTGTCCCAAAAGAATGAAAGAAGAAAATTGCAGGAAAATATAGATGAAGAGGTAAAAAAAGAATAGAAGAGGAAAAATCATGAAAATAAGTAGAAACCGGAGAAAGAAAGAAATAAATAAATAAATAAAGAAAGAAAGAAAGAAAAAAAAGGGAGAAGAATGGCACCAAAAAAGGAAGTGGAAATAAGTACCAAAAGAAAGAAAGAAAGAAAGAAAGAAAGAAAGAAAGAAAGAAAGAAAGAAAAAATTATTTGGAAAATGATTGAACAAGAGATTAAAAAAAAAGAATGGAAAAGCAAAATAAAGGAAAAATAAGTAGAAAACAACGAAAGAAAGAAAAAAGTGAAAGATTTGCATCCAAAAAGAAAGAAGTCTCAAAAGAAAGAAAGAAAGAAAGAAAGAAAGAAAGAAAAAGAAAAGGACAAAATTGTAGGAAAAAGATAGAAGAAGAGATAAGAAAGAATAGAAGTGTAAAATATAGGAAAATAAAAAAAAAAAAACGAAGAAATATAACCTAAAGAATGAACGGGAAAAGACAACAACGAAAGAAAGGATGAAATAAATTAAGAAAAAAAATGACAGAATAGTGTATGTTAAACGAATGAAATGGAAAACTATTAAAAAGTAACATGAAAGTGAAAAGAACTGAAAAATAAAAAATAGAGTTAGGAAAAATGATGCTTGATAATCGATGGAAAAAGTGAGAATGAAAAAATGACGAAAATAAAAGAAAGACAGAAAGAAAAAAAGGAAAGCAAAAAAGTTTAAAAATAGAAAAAAAAAACTTATAAAAAAAGAGAGTGCTCGAAGTAATAAACAGTGAAAAAAAAACAAGCAAGAAAGAACTAAACAAGCAAATAATTAAAATGTAACTAGTGAAAATGATAATGAAAAGAAAGAATGAAACGAACAAACGAATCCTAGATTAAAAAAAATAGGAAGATATAATCCCAAATGAATGAGAGAAAAAAGAATGAACAAAACATAAATATAGATTGAAAGGAAAGACAGAAAGAAGGAAAGATTGATGGAAGGATGGATGGAAGAAAGAAAGGAAGAAAAGGACAGAAGGAAGGAATGAATGAAGGAGGGAAAGAAAGAATGAAGAAAGGAAAGACAGAAAGAATGAAGAAAAAGCAGAAGGAAGGAATGAATGAATAAAGGAAGGAAAGAATGAATGAAGAAAAGAAAGACAGAAGGAAGGAATGAAGGAAGGAAGGAGTGATGAAAGGAATGAAAGACAAGAAATGAAGGAAGGAAGACAGAAGGAAGGAAAGAAAGACAGAAGGAAGGAAGGAAGGAAGGAGGAAAGGGAGAAGGACGTAAGGAAGGAATGGAGAAAAAAGACAGACGGAAGGAAAGTATGAATGAATAAAGAAAGTAAAGATTGAAGAAAGTAAAGAAGAAAAGAAGGAAAGACAAAAAATGTAGGGATGAATGTAGGAAAAACAGAAGGAAGGAAAGAAAGAAAGAAGGAATGAAGGGAGGAAATGCAGAAGGAAGTAAGGAGGGAATGGAAAAAAGACAGAATGAAGCAAGGAAGGAATGATTGAAAGAAGGAAGGAAGGAAAGAATGAAGAAAGGAAAAACAGAAGGAAGGAAAGAAGGAAGGAAGGAAGGAAAGAAAGAAGGAAAGACAAGAAATGAAGGGATGAATGAAGGAAAGACAGGAGGAAGGAAGGAAAGACACAAGGAAGAAGGAAGGAAAAACAGAAGCAAGTAAGGAATGAATGAAGAAAAAGGAGAAGAAGGAAGGAAGGAAGGAAGGAAGGAAGGAAGGAAGGAAGGAAGGAAGGAAGGAAGGAAGGAAAGACAGAAGGAAGGTTAGAAGAAAGGAAGGAAGGAAGGAAAGAGAGAAGGAAAGACAAGAAATGAAGGGATGAATGAAGGAAAGACAGGAGGAAGGAAGGAAAGACAGAAGGAAGGAAGGAAGGAAGGAAGGAAGGAAGGAAGGAAAGACAGAAGGAAGAAGGAAGGAAGGAAGGAAAAACAGAAGCAAGTAAGGAATGAATAAAGAAAAAGGCAGAAGAGAGGAGGGAATGACTGAAGGAAAGAATGAAGGAAGGAAAGACAGAAGGAAGAAAGGTTAGTAGGAAGGAAGGAAGGAAAGAAGGAAGGAAGGAAGGAAGGAAGGAAGGAAGGAAGGACAAGAAATGTAGTGATAAATGAAGAAATGACAGAAGAGAGGAAGTTATGACAAAATGAAGGAAGGAAAGACAGAAGGAAGGAAAGAAAGAAAGAAAGAAAGAAAGAAAGGAAGGAAGGAAGGAAGGAAGGAATACAAAAGTCCGACGTAAAGTACATAAAGAATAAAGCAAAAAATGAGAAATATTCGGTAGATATAAGAGAGAAACGAAATATAAAATAGAGAAATTAAATTAAAAGCGTGAAGCAAACTAAAAGCGATTATATGGCTTAAAATGGCAAGAATGGAGCGTCAAAAGAAACAACGGGCAGAAATAAGAGATGTGGACTTGAGAAGAACGAAACAAACACATGAGTAAATAAGAAAGAAAGAAAGAAAAAAGAAAGAAAGAACAGAAGAAACAAAGAAGAAAATCGACAGATCGTCTTTGCATCCAAACGTTAGGAAGATTCTAATAGCAGAAACGGATGCTTCCATCCTATTAAGACAATGCATAATTATAGATTTTTAAGGAAGTTTCATTAAATTTTGGAATTAATTTCACAGTTTTATTTTGAGGGAAAATTTTGACAGGCATTAATTTTGAAATTTTAAATGGCAAAATTTTCACTTTTGGTAAAATGGCAGCTTTTTCGATTTCTGACATTTCCTTCGTCACTGTCGTAAAAATACCTCATCATTCCGTTTTGTAAAGTTTCAGTTTTAGGTTGAAATCATTGTCACCACTATAGCCGAATGCACGATGAGAATACAGATATGCGTTAAAACGCATTTGTGTTTCTTTATTTACCTCTTGCTTGCGGTCATTTTCCTTTCAGTGGATTCAAGATCAATCATTGATTCCGCTGGTGTAGTTAAATGGAACTGCCCAGAAAAGAGAATTTTTCAGGACCACGCGCATGTGATCCTTTACCAAACTGGCCATCATAAGGGAAAAAGAAGAAGAAAAAGTTAAAGCCATGTCGCACCATTTTCTTTATAATTTATTATGAATTATTGTTGGAGAACCTCATGGTAGTGTAATGGTTAATAATGGTTATATTGTATATACTCATTGGGGATCTTTTTAATTCGTTGTTTTTATTCCCCCCCCACCCAAATACGACGATTTGTACACATGGGGATTATTTATGATTTTCATTGAGACAATAAGGTATTATGGTGGGTGTAGTACGAAAGGATCGTAAGAATGTGGTGTTTTGGTGTTAGGAATATTGTTTGTATGTTTGGATCAGTGCTTGTGGCACTAAGACAGATGAAGACCGTTCTTTTTCCCATCCCATTTTTAGGCTTGTGCCAAATTTTCTGTATTTTTCACAGAAATAAATACTGTAATGTTTAACAAGTTTGTCTCGCTAGAATAATTACGACTGAGTAGTGAGTTATATTCTAATTGGGTGCCCCCTACTTTTGGCCTTGTGCCACATCTGATAACGCTTGGAAAGTCATTTCATAAATTCTTATTGGAAAAGATAGCGTAGTTTTTTCCTCTATCTTATCCCCTATTTAGTAATTATGATTTTCCTTCTCCCAAGTGGATGCTAGTAAGTAATGCCTACGCTTTATTTAATACTAGCAGTAGAGCCCGGCGTTGCCCGGGGATGTAACAGTAAGAGATAGATCAAATATCGGCCATCATAAAGACTGAAAAATAAAATTGACAAAGATTATTGTTTAAGGCTGACGGACACGCATGTCTTAATTAGTTTGTTTTTGTTTTTTTTTTTTTTTTTTTTGTTTTTTTACAAATTGGTCAAACCCAAACTCGAACAAAAACATTGTTTTCAATCGTCATGAGTCTACCGATTGAATATAATTTTATTATAAACAATTGCCTTGTAAATGGAATTTTTAAAGCATTCTGAATGTAAAAATAAAGAAAAAAAGTGTGAGAGACAATAAAAAAAAAACATTACCTGCCAAAAAAAAAAGTTGAAGCTTTGTTGAAATCGGTTGAAAAATGTAGGAAATTCAATCCCATATATAAACGAACACACACACACACACACACACAAACAAACAAACAAACAACCTGGGTTTTATAAGTATATAACTCGATATGAGTTGTCCCTCTTTCATTCTTGCGATGCCTCTTAATCTTGTTTTCAAATTGATTTCTTGCAAAAACAATTGTGTTCTCCAATTTTTGGCGCTGTCACAACAACCGCAAGGTAATTTTACGTAATCCTGTGAAGTTTTGTTGAAATCGGTTGAAAAATGTAGGAAATCCGATCCAATATATAAACGAACAGACACACACACAACCTGGGTTTTATAATAAATATGATCTACTTTTGGGGAGAAATGATATATTTATATATTCCTAAGCAGTTGTTATAAATGGCTTTAAGCGAGTGAAGTCAATGAGTCTTGGCGAAGACCGTGTTATCTCGAAACTTTTGGAAAGGCGCTACACAATCACAATATTATCAAATAACTTTCATGATTTTCAGCAACAAATTTTTATTTCGTTTCAAAAAATAACAATAAAAAAGAACTTTTTCCAGCATCTTTCACCTTCTTCCTTACTTTTAAATCTCCTTCATCCACTCTCGCAACTTTCTCGTTTGAAACGAATAAAATTGCCGACTCCTGTTTTCGGTCAAGCTTTATAGTTTTCTTCCTTACCATAAATCGTATCTTTCTGCAATATTTTTTCTATGAAAAAATAAATATTGCAGCCGGTTGCTGCTTCTTCTTTTCACCCATTACGAGGTAAGCTATCTTCTATTTTCTCTTATTCCTTCATTCAAACTACACATATGTAACACGATGAAAATGTTATGTCATAATCTCAATTTTGACAGGGCTCACGACTCTGATGAAAAGAATACCCTCATAAATACTGGAAAAATCGATAACAGCTACAGGATTTGAGAAACCCATTTTCTTGTACATTTGATCAATTTCAACTGACAATAGTTATGACTGCTCGGGCAGTGAATACCGACTGTTTCCTTATAGGGGAACGATCGACATTACCATTACCGTTAGTAGGAAAGCGAAAGAAACAAAAATGGGTAAAATTTAAACTAGGCTTGCACATTCTAGGTTATCGCTGATAGCAGTGATACTACAAGCACATTCCTAGTTCTCTCTCTCTCTCTTTCTCTCTTTCTCTTTCTATCTCTCTCTCTATATATATATATATATATATATATATATATATATGTGTGTGTAAAACAGAGGATGTCTGTGTATCTGCCTGTCTCTCTGTGTAACACAGTAGCCTCACCCCACTGGACACACACACACCACAAGACAAGCCGTTGGTCCGGTATGGTCTAGTATTACAAGTCCCCTCTCCGAATGTCTATTCAAAGCTACCCTCCAGCCACGTTGTGATTGCTTTGATCCTGGAGAGTGGTCACCAGATCGAAGAAATCCGGAAGCTCTCCGTTGGTCCACCTGCGAGTTCGTCGGGTGAGAATCGGGTAAACAGAAAAGATAAATATATCCAAGTCGATTCGAATTTGAAAGGGACATTTCTTTTACATATAAAAGCAAACACACAAAAAAATAATTCTTATTGTACAAGGTTGAATGTTTTATGTATGTGAACAATAACCAAACAAACACAAATACTTCGAATAATTTCGATGTGGCCTTCGTTTTAATCCTTTTTGGTCTGTTCTTAGCGCAACTACAACTTTCGATGTTCCCGTTCTCAGTAGTAGTAGTAGTAGTGGTGGTGAGGGTAGCAGGCGTAGCGCTACTTACATGTTAGCCGCCGCTTTTCGCTTTTTCACCCTCAGCTTCCGCAACACACAGTGAACCCTTCTGTTTCAATATCTGATGTCTCTCCACTCACTTCGACTGCATTCGAAGACAGACTAACCCAAAATCTCTCTCTTCCAGTTCTGTATTAAGAGATCGGCCTCACGTCTTCCAGTCTGGTGACGTATCTGTTTTTCTAGTGCTAACGTACTGGCATACTACCAAAGTACAACTTCCTATAAAAAATTTACTTTTTCATCGATTGGTTATCTAGCTTCTCAAGACGCTATTGTTTATCACCTCACTTTTAATTATTCTGACGCTCTTTGTAAACTACAGAAATTCGTGTCTTAAAAATAAATTTTAGATCAAAATATCCTTAATTTTAACTTCGATTCGTATCGTTTCAAAATCCATTTCTTTGTATAAAAGTTCCAAATAATTATTGTTCCAGTAATTTTCTATTAGTAATCTGATATCCTTTGTACACTTACAAAAAGATTGTATTTCGTATTCCAAATTAACTTTCTGTAACATTTATTTATCAAAGTCTTTACAGCAGATTAACATCATGGTTAATCGAAAACGTCTCTCTTTCACTTGGTGTTTTCTGTTTTGCATCATATCCTCCTTTATTATCATTATTATTATTATTTCAGCGGTGACATCGCCCCTACCACATCTGTCTCTCTGTGTGAAAACTTTTCACTCGAGATCCATCCAACTGATTTTGATCAAACTTAGGACATACATTGTACAATGAATATAAATAGGTTGTTAGGGTAAGAAATCGATAATTTTCAAAAATCAGTAATATATGAATCTGATCAAATATCGGTAAATTCAACTTTTCTCCTCCGATTTCGTTCGACTTCTGTATGTAGGTTACTTAAATCAAAACGAGCTCAACGATAACTCACTTTTATTTCTATGCCCAAAATAAAAATCGATTTCAACACAAATTTTAAACTAAAAGCTCCCTCAATTTTGAAGCAATCTTATACAAACATCACTCAATTGTCATTTAAAATCATAATTGAGTCCCCACATATCGTGAAAATCTGCGTAAAATGCAAAAATGGCGACATTTAATGGTTTCTTTTTTTTCGTTGATCATTCAACCAATTATCATCAAACATAACAATTGCTTTATAAATGTATCCTCTTTTACATCCATTACAGCAGACCGACCTCTTTGGAAACTGGTCAACATGTACACGGCCTAGCGAAAGAAAAACGTACTTTCTATTCACTTATCTGCGGACGATCAAAGGCCATAAAGTTGGTATGTTATTTATTTGTTCTAATTCTGTAAACCTCCTCGTTCCTTTGGGATAATATGGACAATCAATTGTTTTGGGACATATGTGAATCTTTTTAATATATGTACGTAAGTTGTTTGCCTTTTATTATATCAGTAACTGCATTAATTCAAAGTGTT